GGGGTGGGGGGGGGGGGTGTACTCATAGTCGTGCATGCCGTAGTCGTTAGACCATTGACCTCGCATCCCTACAAAGCCGGGACGGAGCACGCCGGGTTCTCACCGGACCAGGCTCTCACATCACCAAGCGCGAAGCACCGTGAAGTATTCGGCGAGTCGCATGAAGGGTGAGCTGCATCCTGGTAAGGGTGTTCGGCATCTTGTGCTTCCTTGCGTACGGATGACAGCTGCGTATGACTTAAGATATTTTCTGGTGCTTTCACTTCCAGAGACAGCTATAAGCACTGTGTAACTGCCTCGAGGGTGCTTGACCATTGTAACACAACATGGTGCGATTATCCCCTTTGCGCGGAGTGAGGGTTCTCGGTCCCGCACAACATAATCTACTCGACCACCATTCATGGTTACCGCCCAAAAGAAAAACAGAGGTAAAAAAAAAGCGGTAACCTGGTTGCCGAGCTCACGAAGTGATCGGCTTGTTTTACAACATTGCTGCCAAGCGACGAAAACCCAATCCCGATGGCAAACACCGGGGGGGGCATGTTTTCCAACGTCGTTGCCAAGCGACGAAAACCCAACCCCGATGGCAAACATCGGGGGGGGGGGGGGGGGGGGAAGGGTCAGTATGAAAAGGGTTTTTGTTTTCTCGCCTGGTTGTCGAAGAGACCCATTGCTTTTTTGCACCGCCGCAGAAGTAGTACAGTTATCACCGTCAATGCAGCAAGCGAGATGCCGACCCAGCACGGAGCTGCCTTGAGGGCCCAGCAGACAAATTCAAGCAACCCACAAGCGCGATCATTTACTACTCGTCATGCGGTTACCAGACGGCCACGCTACCAACAACGCGAATAACGTTCGGCTCCGCCGGCTCTCACCATGCCCCCGATCCGGACTTTGACGAACGCGAAGCTCGAAGACGGGAGAGCGAGATGGTGGACCTGACGCCAGTACTCCACCTTCGCCCGTCAACCCAAGACACAAGGAAACATCGGTTTGGTTATTGGATCAGCGGGGAGGGCGTGGGGGCAACAGCGCCGCGCGATGGTCGGGCAGAGAAGCGGCGATGACGGTCGGCGGGGGAGTGGTAGGCTCAGTAAGCAAGCAGGCTCAAACCCTCCAAGTGACACTGTTTGGCAGACCAGGCTCTTTGCAGCAAGTTGACGCCCCCTACTCTTCCTTCAGCATTCAGACGTCTACTCCTAACGTGCTACTCTTAGCGGGAGGCTTGATACGGAACATACCGGAAAAGGAATGCGTCAGGGGCCACGAGAACGTCCCGAGAATCGAATTCCTACATGGCGACCACCAATGTCGTCGAAGTCGCCAAACAACCACTCCTCTCCGTCTCTGTCTCCCACCTCCCTCTTTCTCCTACCTCTCCATTACTTCCCCCTCACAAAAATGTCGCACTACTGTACGTACGTTCTCACCATTTCGTCCTCCGAGCGAGGGCCGACGTAGTAGCCCCTCTTGAGGTTGGCCTCCTGTAGAAGGTCCATCTCGAACGCGTCCTGTTGCCCCCCCCCACACATGGCACAAACATTTACAAAAAAACTTGCATTTATTTAGGGTACCCTGCTTGTCGCATCACTCTTTTCAAACGAGGAGCGTGAAAGCCTGAGTGGTCTTCTCCCTACCACCGCGATGCAGCAACACACGGCGGTCAATTGAACCTGATTGCCCAGCAACACGTTCCCAACAATACGCATACCCTGCACAGTAGCCAGCACACAAATCTCTCCCTCCCACCCCCCCCCCCCTTCCGGACGACTACGGGATGGACGGGTATGAGAACCCCCCCCCTCCCGACCCAACCGTACCCTACCATGGCCGGCCTACCATACCTCCTTGACGTCGTCCACCACCCCACGGGTCAGCTTTGGCAGGCAGACAACCTGCAACCGCTCCTCGAGATCGTCCGACTTAGACCCGGAAAAATCTGCTAGCCCTTTGTCTTCCTTCTCTTGCATCAGAGCCCACCTGGTGTTGAGTTCGTCAGGATAAGGAATAAACTTTGTTGAGTTCGTCAAGCGAGCGTGTTTTGTCTCAGTTTATCCCTCCTATTGGATGGGTCAAGGAGCCCTCGTGTTATCCTTTGAACGTGTCAAACGTGTGGCTCCGAGATACGGTAGGAGGAGGAACGGAGAGAAAAAGGGGGGGGGATTCATTCATATCTTCAACTACACTTGTGATTCCTGTCCTGCCAAATGTTGTGAGGTTTTGCACTCGTAGCAACCCTTCCTCGAGACGAAGGCCCACTGATCGTGCCGACTGCCGTCCTGGACAGCAATGCGTGCTTGTGCCTCGCTGTTCATTGGCAGGCTGAAATAAGGGGGGCGGCGCCTCGAGGAGGGAGAACCTGTTCTAACACTGACCCCATGACAAAATAATTTCCTTACAGGGCTCGTTGAAGCTCTTGCCAAAACCGAATACCCTTCTCTTCGAAGTACCGTGGAACCCCTGCGTTCAAACCCCGCGACACTGCGACGCAAAGCCGCACCCAACCGCGGCACAAAAAGAAAATGAGGAGACGCCTGCGAAACGATCCTGCCTGGCGTGTAATCTCGTGCGCTACCTCTTGCCAAACTTCGAGCGGCTGGTTGCAAAAACCTGTCCAATCGTAAATGATCGACGGGGCTCGGCTGCGATCGAACCCAAGGCCCCTCCAACGCACGGTCGAGCACTTCACGAGAAGGCGGCGACGTAACGTGAACCTTCCTATTTGCCAGCGTCTTTCTTTCCGCTCGCGTCGACTTGCTTGCTCTGCATTTAGCCGAGAATATTCTTCGGTTCCTTGATTTTCAGTTTGACTTTAGAAAATTACTGACGCGAAGCACACGCACTCCTTGCTCGAACTATCAGGCACCATCGTTGTACGTGATTCTGTCGCTTCACGTCTGTCGTAGTTCAAACAATGGTCCAACGTGCTATTTTGCGGCCAAGAAGCTCAACCACAACTTCCAAGTGCGAAACACCACCACCAACGAAAACTGATTTGGTCGTCGATAGGGTCACGCTCACCAATCAGCCCCCGAGAGATATCACGACTCGCCACGGTGTCCACACACAGCCATGCATTCATTCCGTAGACAACACCAAACAGAAACTCGGCACACACAAAACTCCCTTGCTCCACGCGCAGAATCAGTACCAAACTGCACCCAACACGACTCCTACCAAAAGGACTAGAAAACAGAACGTTGGCAACGTTAAGAAACGTCCTGAAGATAGCACCATACGAGACCCGGCGAAGACTAAAATGCTGGAGGCGAAGCCTCATACTACTGCCACCTGCTAACGGAATTTCCCTCACCAATCCACGGGCGAGAAGCGGTGCACCACGGGTTCCACCGTCATCCACAGCTCCCAGACCCCGGTCTCCAGGGCACGGTTGTGCGACACGGCCAGGTTGATCTGCAGGCGGACGCCATTGAAGGTGCGCTTCGACCGCCGCCCGCAGAACAGCGCGTTGAAGTAGACCCCACCAACCTCAGACCTGTCGATATCGGGGGGGGGGGGGGGGAATCCGGCGTTTCCATGAACAAGCGGTTACCCAACAATGGGGTTGTCCTCCTTGCTACTACACCGGGCACCTGTGAATGCTGCAGGGGTTGATGGTGTCCCTTGGCGTGGGTGGGTCAAGCCTGTAAAAGGGCTGAGGCGGAAATAAACTGTAACTGTTCTAAAAAAACTGTGGAGGAGGGCGAGGTCACTGACAAAAAACACCCCAAGAACAACAAGACGAAAATTGATGCACGAACACACTCCGCCAAATCGCTCAAGAGGCAAAAACCGCAAAAAACAGAACGGCAAGAGAAACAGAAAAAACGGAGAGCGAAACTCGCCAACAATACAACATGGCAGAAAAAAAAGTTAAAACACACGCACCACATCCCGCACGCCAAGCGGTGGCGTATGATGAGGTCGAGGACACCGCGGTGGTTGTCCAGGAACTCGTCCAGGGCGGGCCGGCCCTCGAGCCACGGGGTCGCCTTGACCTCCACCCCGCACCGCGAAAGTGCCAGCTCACGCACGCGCCTCAGGGCCTCCTTCTGGTCGGCTTCCTTGCTCTCCGTGAGCACGAACACCTGTGCGGAGAACGAGCGCCGCGCCGTGCGTGCCGCCGCGTGGTTGTGTGCACAACGCGCGTACAGAGAGCAACGTGAGCTAACCAAACGCCCCAGCAAACGTCAAGAGCTTGAAGCAGTAGTATAGCATGGTAGGCGGTGCAAAGAGGACGCCCATTGGTTCGAAGAAAGGGAAGGAAAAAAACGGTGCCAAACCTGTTCGTCAAACAGTCGTTGTCTTCTAGTGTAACCGTCACAATCAGCAGTTGCCCTTTGATAGTACGCCGAACGTTCTTCCGGAGAAGCGGTGTGATGACTGCCTCCTACCCAGTGTGTGTGCCGTGGCTCTCCCCTCTCTCACGAAAGAAGAAAAAATACGCTGGTGCCCTCCTGACGCACCATCGCCATGATTGTGGGTGTTGATCATGTCGTGCCTTTTGGAGGCACAGAAGTCGCGAAGGATGAAGTACACAACGGGTCAGCGAACACACACGTCCTGCACCTGCTCCTTGTGCGCTCTTTCTTTTAGCAAGAGTAGCCTTGAAAGCTGCACGTCAGAGTGCACCCCCCCTTATACCGAAGATCGGCCCCGTCATTATCTACCTGTAGTATCGCTCACCCTCTTGTCCTCGTCACGGTAGCACAGGAAGCCCTCGGCCGTCAGGACGTTAGCCAGCTGCTCGGCGGAGTAGCGGTGGCGGTCGAATACAAACGTCACGACGGCGAGAGCGCTGCGTTCGGCCGACAGCGGGGCGTCCCCTTCCAGCAGGCTCAGTCGCACCTATTAATAATAGGAAAAAGAGGTGGCCAGTTAGATGTATGCGGAGGCGGCGGTAATGACCACACTCCGACTCTTTCCACGCCACACCTTCGTCTCCATCAATGCTGTCTCCACCTGACCTCACCCGTGGTCAATGGTCTAACAGCTAAGGCATGCAAAACACCAGGACGCCCTGCCGCCCCTCCCCGCCCCTGCACCACCAACCTTGATTAGCGGCCTATCTCCCTCCCCCCACGGCGCAACCTCGCTCGTGCGGAAGCGAAAAGGGGCGTCTCCGTAGCCTCCGCCAGCACCAGCGCCCTCCCCGTCTTCATCGCTGCGGTAGTCGCTCTCGATGCCGCCATTGGCGGCCGCCATCGTGTCCTCCGACAGGCTCGGGTGCACCTGCCTCCGCGCGCGTCGCCCACGTCGGACCACGTCCGACTCGTCGTCAGCCCCTGCTCCTCCTCCCACCCCGCTGCTGCGGTCGCCGCCATCACCACCTTCAAAACCTCCACGCTTGGCGTCTCGAACGGAGTGGGACGGCTGGCAGAGCATGCGGCGGGGAGCGCTGGCGCTGCCGCCGCGGCCGGCCGAGAAGGAAGAACGGGGTGCCGCCGCTCCGCGAGACGAGGGGTTGCTCGAGCCGGCCCTGGCCTTGGGCGTTACTCGGGCCTGTTGGACCTTGAACTGCTTTCTCGGCCGGATGATCTCTGTCGGGTGGGTAGTCCTGTGTTGGGGCGGAGGCAGAGGCGGAGAACGACGGGAAGACGAGGAGAAGGGGAAAAGAATGAAACGGTGACGGGAGGGGGGCGTCGGCTTGGGTCGGCAAAGGCGCGCTCCGAGCGGTGTTGAGCAAAAGAAAAGAGTTTAGAACTTGTGGCGGTAGCCATTTCCGAGGCCGCGCACACACACAAGAGGTGTCCAACCAACCTGAGTGCAGACTCCGGGCGTCCCTCCACAGACCCAGGAGTCACCACCGTCGGCCGTTGCCAGCCCTTCTTGCGGGGCGTCTTTTTCGTGATCCCAGCGGCAGTACCACCAGCAGCAGCAACGGACCCCCGTTTGGCCTGGCCCCCCTTCTTCACAGGCTTCTTTTTGATAGCTTGGACGCCACCGCCGCCGCTGCTTCTGCTGCCTCCTCTACCGCGGTTGCCAGCAGTTGCCGTGATGGCAGCCGCCGCCGCAGTAGCCGCGGATCGCTTTCTCTTCGGCGGTCCCGAAATGCCCCCGCTCTCCCGCACGGCGGTAGTATCCATCGCCGGCGCCGCTGTTTTCCTATTCCCGACCTTGTCGACGGGCCTCTCCCCCTGTGACGCCGACCGCTGCAAGCCTTGGCCCGGCGGGCCCTTTGCCCGCGCTCTCGCCTCGGAAGCAGCGCCCAGTGCCGGGGCCTCGGATGCACGGCCTCCTTGCCCCAACATCCCGGCTCTACTCTTCTCGTGACTTGCAGAAGAGCCACTGGTAGGACCGGCGTTGCCGACCGACCCAGAAGCTGGTCGCGTTGCGGTAGATCTAGCGCCGGTGCGGCGCATAAGAGCGGACAGCTCGCTCCTGTGCCGCCAGCCACCTTGCTTGCGCTTGTTCTTGAAGGCGACCCTGAACCGCGAGGAGTCGGAGGGGTCCACCTCGACAACCGTGGCCTCAAACGAAGCTGTCGCCGCCGTCTTGCCGGCCGTGCTCACCAGCACCGCCTCCCCGACTCCAAACAAGGGACCTGAGGGCGACGCCGGTGCCGGTACCGGCGCAGCTGGCTCCGAAGACTCATGAGTGCCGACTACCGCTGTTGGGCTGGGCTGTCGGTCGCTTTGCGGCATCGGCTCGGCCTCGACCGCTGTCGAAGAACATGCCGGCGAGGACCTGGTGTCGCTGGCTCCTGGCCGTGGTAGCCCAGCACCAGGTTCAGCACCAACGGTACCACCACCGCCGCCGCCCGTGCCACAAGCAGCGCCGGAAGCAGGCTCTGAAGGAGGCTGTCCCGCGGCGGTAGATCCGGCGCCGGTGTGCCGAACAGCGGACAGCTCGCTCTTGTCCCGCCAGCCCCCCTTCTTGCGCTTGTCTTTGAAAGCAACCTTGAACCGCGAGCCGCCGGGGGGATCCACTTCGACAACGGTGGCCTCCGAAGAAGACGCCGCCGCCTTGCCGGCGGTGTTCACCAGCACCGCATCCCCGACTTGGAACAAGCAGCCCCCGCTTGGGAGGTGGCCCTGTCGCTGTGCCTCGTCACTTACCGCAGCCGCCAGTGCCCCCGGTGATTCAGCTGCTACAACTTCTGAACAGGGCGGCTGCTGCTTGCCAGATGTCCTCTCGCTGTCGGCGGCCAGTGAAGGTTCCGGTGCAGTTGCAGCAGCAGCAGCAGCATCGACCTCTGCGTTTCTGTCATCTCTTCGCTGCTGCGGCGGCGCCGGCCTTGCTTCACCAGCAGCAGCGGCGGAACTCGACGGCAGTGGCACCATCGCGGTTGCAGCAGACCCAGCGTCGGCGGGCCGAGGGAGAGAAGACAGCTCGTTCTTGTCCCGCCAGCCGCCCTTCTTGCGCTTGTCCTTGAAAGCGACCTTGAAGCGCGAACCGTCGGAGGGGTCCGCCTCGACGACAGTGGCCTCCCTGGCAGGCCTGCCCGCGGTTCTGGCCAGGACCGTGTCCCCGACTCGAAACACGCAGCCCTCGCTGGAGAAGTGGCGAGCTTGTCGCTGCAGCTCATCGGCTGCCGAAGCCTCCGGCGCTGCTGGTGATACAGCTGCTTGAGAGCTGAGCCGGTGGCGATCACTCTCGGGTCTAGGTTCGCCCTCGACGGCGGCACCAGCACTTGTCTCAACCTTGCCGTGACCCGGTCCATTCGCCGAACCAGGCGGAGAGTCCAGCCTCTCGTCTGGTGGCATGCCGGTACTGGGTGCTGCACGCCGAGATCCATCGGGCACAGGGAGTACAGAAGTGAGCGCCGGCCCTCTTGACTGGCGGCCTCCGGCCCGCTTTGGCGGAGGTCTCATGTGTTGTACGTGCAGGGTGGAGTGCACAACGATGGATGTCTCCACTCTCTTTATCCGTGTTGCTTTTGGTGTCTTGCGTTGAATGAGAGCGGCACCAGACGCGGGAAATGTACTAGAGAGACTGCGGGAAGTAGTCGCTGCCCATGCACGTCCACACGTCCACCCTTCTTCGTCACACAACATACAAACCCATCCAGAGAGGGCAAACGGCCGGAGGTTGCGGATGCGGCGGATGGTTTCGGTTTGAATCTTGCCAAATTTCAAATCTCGGGTTCTCGGGAAAACTTGACCAATCAGTGGCGTGATACAGCTCGCAGAGAACCAACCCTGCAACCCTGTAAAAAAAGTTGTCACTGCGCGTCACAAGAGGATATATGTCGTCTTGTGGGTGCGGAGACCTGTTTCAAAGACTCCTGTGTTTAGGGTATCATGTGACTATTGGTCGATCCTGCACGCATTTTTCATTCCAAATGGTTCGAGCAATGTCCCAAGAGATCATTTTATCTTCTGGCCGCGTACCAAGCTTTAAACTGCATGGTGCGTATCTCCAAACCATGCAATCCGTTAATACGGAGCAAGACTTCGTCAGCTACTGCTGTGCGTGATGCTAATGCACGACCGCAGGTCAACATTCCGCAGAGCGCGGTGGCAGCAGTCGACACCATTGCTTTCCCCTTATACAAGGAATCGGTAACGTCCGGTCGCGTACCTACACACATCGTGACACAGAAAAAAAAACAAGAAGGGTTCGACGGCGGCTGCAGGTCGCTCACAGGTATCTACACGATGCGCGATATTTGAACTTCGAGAAAAGGCGTGTAAGTCACACGTACGTACACACCATAGCTGTTGGAAACACTCCTGGCGAGTCGGAGACCAACCAACCATGCAATCCCCGGCTCCTCTATGGAGAAGAAGCACACAGAAATAAATTATCACCGTCACCCCCCCACAAACATATCTGAGTCATGTTGAGGCCCATACGCCGTGGATGCTACAGAATAGTCGAGGTGAACCCTTGTTACAGAGACGGATACTACGGGAAAAAACACCACCCGAAAGGCAGAACAAATCAACAGGGGACGACATTGACAACTTACATAGTAGTGTCGATGCGCAAACGACCTCACCGCCCACCATTGCTCACTACGGATGCCCTGCTGCAAAAAATCTTCGGCTAACGTTGTGCTGGCCGGCAGCTCCCACAACGACAAAGAGAGCTCCGTAAGTTACAGAACGCATGAACGCGAAAAAACGCCTCCTTCGTGTCACCAGAAGCCATTCAACTTCCCACCTCCACCACTCCTACCCCAGGCCGCACATCCGCACAAAAAAACTCCCGCCGTACAGCTGTGTACGTTGGAAAAAAGCAAGATAAGCTTGTACGCTAGGGCTCTTCTAGTGCGCAGGAAACACAAGACAATACTACACAACTGCGGCGCAACGTCATGCTGCCGCTCTATATACCAGTCAACCCTGGCCCATCGCACGACCAGCCTCGCGTCGAACGACGTACATGGATAGGCCGACACCTTCGGGCAGCGTCAACTCCTCAACCCACCTCACCTTCCTCCCGGCGGTGTCTACAAGTGGGTTGGTCGGAATCACATCGGTCAGCTCGCTCAAGGTTATCGTTCTACCGCGTCCAACATCCTAACGACCTTACAATACCTCGACAAAGACCGCGAGACCAACAAAAAAATAATTAAAAAAGAGCATCAAGACTCCTTCTTATCAGTTGCGCTGCCATCCTGTGCGGCAGGTTTGAAGCTGGTCTTGGTCGTCTTCGCCATCTGGTAAGCGTAGAAGAAGGCCATCAACAGCGCGAGGATGCCGAGCGGCGCAGACGGCATGATCTTCCCTGTCTTGCGGAACCGCTTCGCCATCATGACCCAAATGACGTTGGATATCACTGCGGAACGCATGGACACGAGAGAAGGAGCAACGTGGTGTGAGCGTACGGAACCAGGCGAGAAAAAAGACACAGGGGCAGCAGCGAGTAAAAAGCTGTCCTGTCGGTGCGTGTTGCACGAGCTGGTCGCACAGGAGAAAACATTGCCGGCGTTGCACATGCGACCGATGCAACACAGGATACCAGGCATGTACGTACAATATGTGTCCACACATAACATACACAAGTGTGTTCAAAAAAAGCTTCACGGCTTGGAAAAGCCTCCTCTGTCGAAAAGGTTATCGAAAGTCAGCTCAGGCGTACCTGCCTGCACCACGGAGTTACAAGCGCATAGCAGGACCAGATGAAAACAAACTTGGAACCAGCTGCCGCACGTTCACCACCGAAATCTTGCGGTGTAGCCTCGCCCGATCTAGATCGTAACTACGTTTGACCAATAGACAGCAGAAATATCTGCTGCCAGGGTGTCAAAATCTTGCCAAGCGCAACTATTGACAGAGTGAGTGGGTCCTCACGAGGTTGCCATGTTGCGACAGGGCTGTTTCAATGCACAGTTGTAGGCGTTTACCCCCCTGCCCCTGCACTCACCAAGCGACGCGATAGTCCACAGCTGCGAGACGGTGCCCCTGTAGTACAAGCGAGCAAGAGAGCATTCAGCGTTGTAAGGGATCACCAGCAGCAACATTTACGAAGCACTTAACAGTAGGAGCGATATCGAACAATTGTGCTACTAGTACGGATAAAATGTAACAGGGGGGTTGTCGATTGGATGCCTCGTATTCCGCAGCTGCATCATTCACCCGTTCACCACCCAACGGCGCTCTGCACCATATAGACGTTTGAAAAAAGAAAGACAAAGCAAGAGGCCAGTGGTGATGGGCGCACAAAAGGTCCGAAGGCCCCCAAGGCTTCTTGTCGGGGCATTGCTACCCCGTACAACCCGAACTTCAACTTGACAAAAAAACACGGGGACCGCAGCATGATCCCCAGCACGGTCCGGTAAGCCAGCCATCTTGTACTGCTCTGCCCTTTTCTCTACCCATGTGATACTGCACCGCCGCTGCCTTGATCAAGATTCGTTCTCTGTCCGCACAATGATGCCACAAAGCCTGCCAGGGCTGCAGGGAGGGGTTCCGTACTCACTTCGCCTTGTACTCCATGTACCTAAATCAAGAGACCGAGACACCGAAAGGGGGGAAATGCGGCACATACGGTAAAGCAAGGTAGGCAGGAGCAAGTCAGCATAAGTGTCTGCGGCAGTGCGGTCATCAGCGCCCGCATAATCCTGTGCGGCGGGACAGAACGATCGCGATGATGCTGTCGAGGCTATTGTTTGGCAGGCCAAAAAACGGAGCAACGCTAAGAGGCGTCAAATGCGATGGGGGGGGGGGGGGGGGGTGACTCATAGTCGTGCATTGCCGTGGTTGTAGACCAATGACCTCGCATCCCTACAAAGCTGGGACGGAGCACGCCGGGCTCTCACCGCACCAGGCTCTCACATCACCAAGCGCAGAGCGCCGTGAGGTATTCGGCGAGTCGCTTGGAGGGTGCGCTGCATCCTGCTACGGGTGTTCGGCATCTTGTGCTTACTTCCTTGCATACAGATGACAGCTGCGTACGACTTAATTTATTTTCTGGTGCTTTCACTCCAGAGACAGTTGTAAGCACTGTGCAAGTGCCTCGAAAGTGCTTGACCATTTAAACACAACGTGGTGCGATCATCCTCTTTGCGCGGAGTGAGGGTTCTCGATCCCGCCAACATAATCTACTCGAAGGGGCATGGGTGGGGATAACAACTGGCTACGTTTGCTGTTCGTAGAGTAGGGACGTGGCAAAGCTGGACATCGGCAAAGGAAATTACCATACGGCCTCTTGCGCAGCTGTTTCTTCTCTCGGTCGCTGCAAACCTCTGGATGTACTTGGGGGGGAAGGCACGCTACTTCAAACTCTTGTGCCATGGTCCTCTCCTCGGTTGAGTATCATATGGCCTCAGGAAAGAAGGCAACCATAGCTGTGATGCCCAATTACCTACAGTGTCACAACAACAAGACGAAAAATTAACCATCACACAGCATGCCAATGGATTTCCTTTCGATCGTGTGAACATCCTAAATAGTGACGAAAATACCGACGGAGTGTTCAGCTGCACAGGCACCAGGACCCCAGAGAAGATGACACGAAGATGGCATCAAAGGAAAATCCTCTACTCTTTGTAGAGAAAGTTTAACCATCAATCTCTCGCAAGCTCGTGTACATGTATGTAAAGCAGGGCTTACCCTCCGTAACCCAGAAGCATGAGGAGCGCCCCGCTTCCGCCCTGGTACAGTATGCCCGCCGACGAGAGGTAGGCGCCACACATAGCCGTAGGAAATACATTGCGAAGACAGCAACGTGGCGTGCTGGATGAAGAAGAGGCAACCAAAAGAGGAACTCCGGCGACGTAGCCCAAGACCAATAACATGTCTACCTCTAACGGATTAACACACAGCATGCATCTGCCCCCGAACGTGCCTAAAGAATGGTAGAGGGGAGGACCTAGAAGTTATGCAAGCCGACCAGCAGTGGGAAGGCGCACAGGTTGAAAGGAGCCGAAAGCGTTGCTATTGCAGATGGATTAGGCATCCCATCAATGGGAACCCAGGGCGTTTTCGACGTCCTTGAAAACACTTTTGGTCTACAAATCTTTACAATTCACGACACAACGGAGGGTTTCTCCCCGATATTTTGTCGTTGACCCAGTAGAGAACTATAGGGGATGTATTGTAAAATGTAAGTTACCTATACAGATGTTTTTGTACTTAGCACCAGCTGGCATCACTGGTATAAATCATCAGTGTTAGACTTTAAAAGACTCAAAATAAGTCCAGTACCCAGTCGGTTTCCCTTCACTCACTGAAAAGACTCCACCACATCCCGTTCGACTGTGGGTATATCTCGAATGGGTAGTCTTTCTGTGTGTGTTTTTATTATTCCCTTTAATTAAAACTTTTGGTCTACAAATGAAAAGGAAGCAGCCGCCCGGAGCTCCCCCGAGCAACAAAAGAGGACTGCTCGTGTGTACAGATCAAAAAGAGCAAACGGGAGACTGGCGAACGGAGCAAGCTACACATGTTTTCCAACTTCGTGCGAGCCGAATTGGAGAAACGGAGGGCGCGCAAGCAAGGAAAGGGGTGCCGTTTTAAAAGGACGGCATTCAATAACAACAGTCACTGATAGAGATACATCTGGGATGTACTGCCATACCACAGAGCACTCCTCCCTAACGTCTAGTATCCCGAGATCCGACAGAGAACTAAATGCGGCGGAATTTTGTTGAGAACAAAGTCGATCCTCACCCCCGCCATTAGAGAAGCTTTCGAGCCCGCTGCGAGGAAACCAATGATTCCCCCAAACATCACAATCATCCCATAAGGGATAGTGAGGCAGAAGTCGTGCATGATCAGCCAGCAAAGAGCGATAGCAGCGGCAGGAAAGTGAATCCACCACATTCCCGACTGAGGGGGCTCCGCATACGTGTATTCTTGCCTAAAATAATACACCCCCCCACTTTTGTAGTGCGGTGTGATGTTCTGAACAATGCACGCACAGCAGCTGCTGTGCACAGCCGCTGCAGTTCAGACGGGAAGACAGAGAGAGACAGAGGGAGAGCGTCTTGTTTGTGTACTGGGCGAGAAAGGGTAGATACAAGGAGACAGCGCGTGCTTCTCTCGTCGAGGTACGCCGTCAAGGCAGCATGGCGAGATCAGGCAGAATCTCGCTTCTGGCAGCAGCCTTGGCGCTCTTCGGATCACGGCAAGGGGTGTGGGCGGCCGCAGCGCCGTCTTCGAAGGTCGCCTTCGTGCAGCACGGCTTGGCTGAGGGCGAGGATGCTGTGATGCACGCCCCGTCCACGATCAGCTCTAGGCTGGCCACGATGACACCCCAGCTCCTCTCCTCCGCTATCGCGAGAGTGATGAGCCTGGACGCACGCGCGGAGGTAGAGGCGGGGCTGCCGGCGGGAGACATTTTCAACAGACCCGACGCGAACGTCTTGGTGTTCGTCGATGGAATTCGACCCAAAGGTATTGATTGCAGAGAGAGGAAGATGTAGTGCGGGGTGGAGTAGATATCAGGGGGGGCAGGAACGACACGCTGGTAGTTGTTTCTACGTTGTGCACTGCACTCACATGGACGGATGGTGTAAATTGGTGCTTCTGTTCCTGTGCATAAAGTGGTTCTGCAACCTGTCACCCGCCCCCCCCACCCTCATCTGCCTATAGCAGTATGCATACGATACCCACAAGCACCATGCTGTAACCCCGCCCTCACAGCAGTTGAAATGAAAATACATTGCGTCATTTTCGAGTTGTAGGTTTGATCGGCACGTCCAACAATGGGGTGCGCCTTGCGACGACGAGTTGCACGCCCGTCTGGTTAGCAACCCATATCTCTGTTCGACCAACGCGGTTGCGGAACTATTGTAAAGCGTAGCATAAAAGCGGTGTAACTGCTGCTGTGTCTCACAGGGTGAACACGCGATAGCACAATTTCCAAGGTAGAGGTCAATGCCCGACCATATGACGTTAGCCTGAGAGTCGCCCCATCCTCCTTACTTTGTCATGCATCGGCGGTGCCGATCAGGTGTGAAACGACTCAAGTCGATACAGATGCACACGCCGCTTGTACGCATCCCTGAAGTTTAACGGGAACCCTACCAGTCCCGATGCGTTTGGGGATCGCAGACCCCGCCAGAGACACGCGAGACATGCCGTAGGCGATAGTTTCCACTAGCACCAGCAGTATCTTCAGCAGCAACCGGGAGGCATAGGAAATCATATATAGCCGTTTATTGAGAGGGCAACTCTGCTTACTTCACGTTGAATCCTACCAACTACGGGCGGCGGCATTACGGAATATGGCACGGGAAGGCGTGCGTAGCACAGGCCGTCCCGCGTGTGTTTTGCATGAGAATCGTGGCCAGCGTTGAAGGCGCTGGCCCCCATGTTCCCATCCCCAAAGTTTAACTTTCCTCCTCCAA